TTTTCGAGTCTGGTGCCCCAGCTCGTCTTCGGACTAACAGGAAATGTGCAATAAACCACTAACATTTCAAACCAGCGGAAAAAAGCAATATTTATATGGGATGAAACCTGATTGGTAGGTGTGGCTTCATTCAGTCTGTAACGTGCAGCCTTCCTCTTTTCCATCGTTCTTTAACGTATTTGCAAATACCATCCAACTCTATGTGGCGGTTGATGCTTGAGTCGTTGGAGTACATGGCCTCAAGAAAATCTCGGAAATTTTTGGAGGGGCAAACTCCTGCTAGTCGAATAATTTTGCTGTATACAAAAATCAGCAAAAACAAATGCACTAAAATTAAACATGCACTCACAAATTGAGGCGAAGGCTTGTATCCTAGGTGTGTATGTAGGTAAGGAAGAAGAAGGCATTTCGATCACCGAAATTTGGGTTTTACTTGTCTGAGCTTTAGAACTCTTAATGGGGTCCATTGTCAGAGATAAAAACAACAACGGAAAACAAGCAACAGTTGTAGGGGGCAGTGGCTAATCAACCACCAGTGACTTCAGTCTCAAGGTGCCTGCGCAGGGCTATGTATGTCGACGCTAGATCGATAAATGGATTGAATTAGTTCACATCGAGGCCCAAGTTTCCATCAGTTTTCGCCTGTAATGTTGTCGACATGGGTGATTATCTTCGCGGCTGTGAAGTAAAACTCGTGACAGAAATAAGGGTTATATACAGATTTGGTCCGAATATATTTGACTAGCCGATCTTCCACCATTTAAGGATTGTATCTAATGTAACTGCTTCCGAAATTATATTTTAAAGTAAAGGTTTGGTGGAATATGAAACAGTGACTTCAGTTTCTGGCTGATCTGCCGTTTGTGACTTAGTAAGTATTCCCATAATATCCAGGTTTTATGGGGTCGAAATTCCTTCGGCAAAATAGCTTATTTAGTCCCACTCATTAATTCCTACTTCCAGCATGCTGACCTACGCAAACGGTGTTTATAGGGTTTGGTGCGCATGGAATTATGACACACAATGAAATATACTTTAATAACTGCCATATTAATTTTTATGTCATTGTATTTGGAAGTATTGATTTATGTCTGTAGGTTTTTCTATTCTGTATTATCGTTTAACGTATTGTGGAAAAACCTGATTATCAAATTGCAAGTTCCTTGAAAATCCCAAAAAATTGAAATGGTGGTAAGAAAGTCATCTACTTCAAATTACCTGAGGTCCAATCTACCGTTCTAGAGTTAGATTCGAATAGCCCGCGGCGAGAAGCACCGCGCACACCTTGAAATTACATGCGGAAAAACTTACTCGCAGCGGCCGCGGAAAACAACTTCGACTACATTTACGCTTACTTCTAAAAATTTCCTTCTCTGTCTATCCTATTTCCCCACCCCTAAGACCCTATAACCACCGTTTTCGTGGGACAAAATCTGCGACTAGGGGTATATGAGTGGAACTACATAAGCTACTTTGCCATTCTTTCTAAGTATGACTAGTATGTCTTTGTTCAAGCAAAAATATTATCTAACATCCACAGAGAGAGTGTTTGTGTCGATTATTAAGCTTATATCATATTCCCGCATAAAATTGTGCACTTTAGTCTGCAAGCGATTCACCTAAGGAGACTTCGCCCGAGATGCTGCCGACACAGATTTCCCTGAACAACCTACGCAGTGGCTCCAACCGTCAGCCTGGCACAAACACAGCCCGTGGCCCGCCTACAGCCCTACTTCCTGCCACAGTTCAGGTCGGTCCAAACGGGGAAAAGCATTTAGTTATTCAGTACTCCGACGGACAGATCTTCGCGGCCGCCTTCCCTCAACAGGGTCACCTCCATTTTCTGCCCGTGTCTCGCGCT